TGAAAAATGTGTGTTTCTTGTTCAACTACTCATTCGTTTGCAATGTGTGTTGACTTCTATTAATTATTAAAGAATGTTTTTAAAAAGATATTTGTTATCTGGTGTTCTTTATCTAAACGGGGTGGTAGCACTTGTTAGGGTCCCAGCTATGGGTAAATAGTTAACCCCGAAACTGAAGTAAAAAGCATTATAAAAGTGTGTAAAAAAAAAAAAAAAAAAAAAAAAATGGTTTTTAAAACTAGAAATAATTTATAAAAAAATTATTACCAGAAATAAATTTTTGAAGAAATAATTATTACCAGCAATATACCTTTGGAAAAAAAATATTACCAGCAATGTTTTTGAAAATAATATTGCCAACTATACATTGTTAAGGAAAAAAGTATTACCAGCAATGTTTTTGAAAATAATATTACCAGCTCTACATTGTTAAGGAAAAAATATTACCAGAAATATATTTTTGACAAAACAAAATATACTACTTACATTATTCGGACTATTGTCCTCATCTTTTTCACCATATTTATTACAACGTTTCGGCTGTTGTACTCTGTGGCTTTCTTCAGGTGGTTGGAATGTCAAACTGAACCCTTTATTTCACTCACTCCAGTTCGACATTCCAACCGCCTGAAGAAGGCCGGAGGGTACAACGGCCGAAACGTTGTAATATGGCGACAAAGATGTGGACAATAGTCCGAATAATGTAAATAGTGTACATAATACCTCATCTCAGAAATATAGACAGAAAACAAAATATTACCAGGAAAAAAAGTTGTCGACATTAAATAACCCATTGAGGTTGATATGCCGTAAAGCAAAAGAAAAAAACCCACAGATATATCAGTCGAAAGTAGCATTGACTGTTCGGTCGGGGAGTGCCGAGTGTTTCCTTATAAGAAAACACTTAATGCTATCATTAGCGTGGCTTCATAATAGTGCTTAGTGAGGATAGCACTCATTGTGATAATAAGTGTCAGTTGTTTCACAACGACGCCTCAGATACCTGCTTTATAGTTGAAACATATCGAGGCTGTTTCAGTGGCCAACATCTTTATCACCCAAGTCAAAACCTATACCTGCTTATCCAGTATTCCTGTCAGACTAATGAAGAAGGAGGAAGTTGACAATCTAGTTGAGTTTTTCTTTGCTTTCTTGCTTGCTTGCTTGTTTGTTTGTGAATGTCTATTTATAATAAAATGGTTTAATTTTCGCCCTGCTCTCACCAACTCTCGTCCCACAAGTACTACACATTATTTTTAACAAGGAAAAAAAAAAAAGAAGAATTCTTTGCATATTTACAATCTGTAGAGTAAATCCCGATTCTCACCGAGAGTGCGTACATAAATCTAGCCTGTCATTACGAGTTTTAACTCGTGAAAATATTAACGGTTTTCCTACTTGAATTTTCTGATGAATCTTATTTCTTAAGTCAATGATTGAATAAGCTCATGGCGAGTTCTACGACAATAAAATATCCTTAGAAATTCCCCTATCGCGTCGTTAAGTATTTGAGCTGAATAACTTTAACACAATATTGCAATAACGGTCATAAATATGAATGCTCGTCGTTATTCTAAGTAAGTGCAAATGAAAGGATTTGAAATTGACAACTTTGTCCATTTCACTGATCGTCCTGGGTATATAACAATAAATTGCATCCGACAGCAAGACTTCAAGTCAGGAGACTGGAGGTTATGGGGAGCGTGGTAACACCTCTTGATTACTATTGTTTTCAGGCCCACTCCAATTCGGGGTGGTAGCACCTGTTAGAGTCCCAGCTCTGCGCAAACTGTGAACCACCAATTAAAAACAAATGAATATTAAAGTATAAAAAAAATTATAGTAAAATCCCAGCAGTACACTTTTATATATATAAAAAAAAAAACTAGCAGTAGAGCCCGGTTTTGCCCGGGGATGTAACAGTAAGAGATAGATCAAGTATCGACCATCGTAAAGACTGAAAAATAAAATTGACAAAGATTATTGTTTAAGGTTGACGGACACGCATGTCTTAATTATTTTTTTTTATTTTTTATTTTTTTTAACGAATTGGTCAAACTCAAACAAAAACATTGTTTTCAATCGTTATGAGTCTACCGATTGAATAGAATTTTATTATAAACAATTGTCTTCTAAATGGAAATTTTAAAGCATTCTGAATGTAAAAATAAAGAAAAAAGTGTGCAAGACAATAAGAAACACTACCTGCCAAAAAAAAGTGAAGTTTTGTTGAAATCGGTTGAAAAATGTAGGAAATCTGATCCCATATATAAACGAACACGCACACAAACAACCAACCTGGATTTTATAAGTATAATTCGATATTAATAAGTATAACTCGATATGAGTTGTCCTCCTTTCATTAATGCCTCTTAATCGTGTTTTCAAATTGATTTCGTGCAAAAACAATTGTATTTTTCCAATTTTTGGCGCTGTCAGAACCACTGCAAGGTAATTTTACGTAGTCCTGTGAAGTTTTGTTGAAATCGGTTGAAAAATGTAGCAAATCCGATCCAATATATAAACGTACACACACACACACACACACACACACACACACACACCTGGGTTTTATAATAAGTAAGATTACCAAAAATATCTATTTATAGTAGATAAACGAAGAGAAACAAAGTTGTTTTTTTAATCAAAAGTTAGAATGCTCTAAAAGATATTTTTTTTTTTTAAATAATTAAAAAATACTTTTTTCTTTCTTAATTGTAACATAAACATTTTGACGATAAAATTTTGCTTTCGTCATGTTTAAGGCCGTTTTTTATCGTGCTATGCTCAGTGCACAGCGATATCATGGAGATACCTATAGTAGAATTAGCAAGAACTTTCATGACATTAATCTTTATATACTACAATATCTTAAATCAAACCATATTCCATAATATAACCTCCACAAAACTACAACATAAAACATACATATCACTGCCTCTTGTAATTGTCCATACAAATGTATATGTAGAAAAGCTGAGTATCATCTACCATGTATTCAATCGTGAAAGCAGAATGGCATATTTTTATTACTTAAAAAATCCAAAAGTAATTAAATTTCGACATAAGATGTCGATATGCCGTTAAAAAAAAAAAAACAGCCATTTAACTGAAACAGCCATAAAACATTTGTATTGTTTTTCCCCTCGTTCCACGATATCAAAACTGAATAGTGCATTATTTACGAGCTATTGACGGGACGTAATTGTCGTGAAAACTAACGAATGCAGTCCTGGGCAAAGTGGGGACCGTGCGCCACGTGTGGCCCGTTTCGTTTTTTGAATGGCACGCGTTTTTCATGAGGAAAGTAAGGTGTATTTAAATTTTGTTCATTTGGTTTCGTCCTCACTTGTTCACTCACATTTTCTCATACATAACCACATACATAAACAATGATTAAGCACAGCGTTTCTTGAATTTTGTAACTTTTCGTTGAAGGTAACCTTTTTATTATTTTAAACGATTGGTGATTTTTCACTAAGGAAGATCATGAGTGTAAGTATCATTTCCTTTAGAAACAGTACGTTCATAATATATATATATATATATATATATATATATATATATATATATATTTTTTTTTTTTTTTTCCTGGAGAAGAATTTTTTTTTTTTTTTTAATTTAAAAAGTATTTTTTGTATTTTCAAATGAATAAATAAGAAACTAATGACATGCAGCAGTGTGTTAAGCACTGTCATCTGTAATAAAATTATACCTGGACTTCATTTTTATTTTTTTATTTATTTTTTTTTATTTTTTTTCTCCCAAAACAATCAACCTTTCACCATTTCTATGGTAGATGCTTACGCGTGTAGTCTTCTGTGATGAAAATGACTGAGACAGCTTCAACGAAAAATTACATTGAATATTTTTAGTAGTGCGGCCCACCGTATAATGAGCCATATATGATGCCGCCCACTTGTCGGAAAAGGTTGCCCATGCCTGGAATAGAGGGACAAACACAATTAGAATAGGATATTTTTTTTTATTATAATAATAATGTATATTACTAAGCAGTTGATCTTTTAAGTTAGTGTAATTTTAAAGAGCATATGGGGATTTTTTTTTAAAATTGGCTAATTTCATAGGGACAAGTTTGGTAAAATTAAGCGTAAGAATCAATTTATAGGCTAGCGTCGTGATTTTCATTATTGATAGCTTGAAAAGTCGTTAGTCCTTTTTACGCACTACACGCAAAAGCTCTTTCAGAAGATCAACTGTCTCAATCGAAGTAGGCAAATTAAAGCTGACGCAGGATTTCATCATTGTGCAATCCATTAGCAGAAAGTTAATCTTTCGAATATCAGGTCGTGTTCGATATTACCATAATATTATGGAATTTCAACTGACAGCGGATGACCTTGGCACAAGCTTGCAATCGACCTTACCCAACTTTTGAAAGAAATAATTTCCTTCTTTCTCTGAATTCTTTCTGTTTGGCGTTTTTTTTTTCTCTTTTGTTTTTTCTTTTTACTTTTCTTTTGTCGAATTCCTTTTGCGTTCACAGATATAGGGTATATATCTGTGTATAAGAAATCCTTCGACAAAAAGTTACATTGAAATCGGTGCAGTACTTAACCTCAAAACCTCCGTTTCTTACTACTAAAACAGCAACCCTCTCCTTACAAAATCTTAAATATGCACCAATTCGTTATGAAAAACTCTGCAGTGGCCTTAGGAGTTTCAGTTCCGATGGGTTATATGCTGAAAATGAAATACGAAGTGATGTTGAAAAGTTCTCGTCCTGGCCTATTTCCATTACTGATAATGCTTTCCAATGACTAAACAAAAGATATTTTTTTCTTTTGTAAGGATTTCTCGTTCAGGTCGCAATTTTTTTTTCAGTACCCAACCGCGTATTACAGAATTATGCAATAACCAAAAACTGTACCTTGGAAGTCTTGGTTGTTTTAAGAAAAATAATAATCGAAGAGCCTCATGCCCTCAGTTATTTGGTGTTCTCATATATTGATATTTTTGTTGGATACAAGTCTGTCATTATGAATTCTTTTTTTCTCCTTACTCTCCTTACTCTCCTTTTTCTCCTTACTCTCCTTTTTCTCCTTACTCTCCTTTTTCTCCTTACTCTCCTTTTTCTCCTTACTCTCCTTTTTCTCCTTTTTCTCCTTACTCTCCTTTTCTCCTTTTTTTCTCCTTACTCTCCTTTTTTCTCCTTTACTCACCTTTCTCACCTTTCTCTCCTTTCTCTCCTTTCTTTTCCCTTTTTCTCCTTTCTCTCCTTTCTCTTCTTTCTTTTCCCTTTTTCCTTTCCTTTTCCTTTTTTCTTTCTTCCTCTTCCTCATTTCTCTTCTGTTCATATACCAACTGAGAAAACCAGTCGGATATTGTATACCAGGTACATGCATTGCAGTCAAATTTACGCGATATGGTGACAGGATTTGATAAAAGCAGTGCATAACTTTGCAGGTGGGACACTTAAAAATACATTAAAATCTAGTAACCTGGTGTGCTCCAATTGGAGGTATGTACTCCAAGGTCACCGTAGCTGAGTCATTCTTTAAACACCTGAACAAAACACCTCCACTATTCTTGTTCACGAACAGAGATGTGCCGTGCGTCAGCCTCTAAGGGACCTAGCAAACTTTGTTGTTGCTGTAATTGTTATTCTGGTACAAGGACATGAAATAAGGAGCGTAAAAAAAAAAAGGCTTGATAAATGGATTTGCTTAATGTCATCAGTTTTAGTTATTTCTCTTTTTCCAGGCCTTCCCACCACCGTCGCTAAATATTTCCCCTTGCCATATATGGATCATTAATAAGCTTTAACAGTTAGGCAGGGTGAGGAGGCTATATGTTCGAGTGTAATTTACTTAATTTCCTCTGAGTCATCCAGGTGAGGAGGCACCTTACTGGGTTAGTCACTATGACAGGAAGGTGGGAATAGGTATTTTTCCCTTTTCTGTATTGACTTTTTTTTAACCCCTCACTTGACACGTTTATTGGACGTTTCTCACTATCTCTCTTTCCCTTTTTTATATATAATTATTTTTTTCTTTTTATTGTTTCTTTTTTAGAGTTTTTGTTTTTCATATATACGTAAACTTTTTAACTCTATATATCTTTATATCTGTCTAGTAGAGTACAATAGTAAATCCTGTAAGCCATTGTACGTGCCTCTGCGGAGTTACATATCTACATTTAAAATTTGTATAGGATTTTATGCTGATGTTTTTTTTTTCTTAATTTCTTTTAACGTTTGTTTTTATTATTACAAAGGTAAATCTTACGTTTGAATTTATTCAATTTGTAAGACGTAGGCTCTTCGTTATTTTTTCCCTTTCTGTTATCAAGCATTTTTTTTTTCTTCCTGTACACTGCCTTTTGTAGTAACTAGAATTCTTTACAACACGATGACTGGTATTGAAATCCTCACAGTATTTAGTATTGTTGAAGTTAGCGTTAACATTTTTGTCGTGATTTACAAACTCCACATATCTTTCAATTTCAAACTCCAGTCGATGAAATTTGAATAAGTTGATTTGTTTGAAAAAAGGCTTTGACAGAAACCCTATTTCGTCGTTTAATAATTTAATTTAATACTTTAGAAATTCATGGTAAACAATATCTTAAGATTTTTTTTTTTTTTACTTTTTAACAACGAAGAATAAATTCTTAGGATTTCTTACTCTTGAGCATGCAACATACAGCTGGCCATATTTCTTTCTAGAGCCAAATTCCAATTTTTTTGAAGCGTTTGGTCCTGAGATTTGTTTATAGTTCTCGCAAACACAGGGCGAACTGGAAACTGGATTCTTGTATATCAAAACTTAATGAAAAGATATGTAAAAAAGAAAATTGCATTTTTATTAAATAAGTATTTTTTTATTTTATTTTATTCATTAAATTCTTTTAAAAATAGTGGGAGTATTTTGTTTGCTAAATAATACTATTAATTTTTCAAAAAAAAAAAAATTGAAAAATCACCGTACTAAGCTACTCACCCTACATTCAACCTCCTCACATTTTTTTTTTTTTTTTACACTTCTCCCTAAAATTTGCCTTCGATCTGTCAATATGTGACTATTTTAGAGGGTGTGGCGGACTGACTGGCAGAAGTCACAGAATTTTATATATAGATCGATGTTTGTTTTATTTATATCGTTAAAAATGAACAATTATCAGATTGAGCTAAAAAGAACCAACTGTTTCTCGTCTGCTTTTTTGTTTTTCTCCGTAAAGCTACAAAGCCAACCCTGATCTCTCTTCAACTTTTCTCTACCGGGAGCCGGGGGAGGGGGGCACCCATGATCATCGTATGGTTATTTCACTCTGCGCAAATAACACACTTTTCTTTTGTTCCTCGCACTATTTCACGGTTACTTTTATCACCGCTGTCATCTTTTCCGTTGTCTTTTGTGATTATTGCAGCAGCTGCAATATGGGAATTCTTAATTACCATTACGTTTTCTTAGTCTTCAAAATGTTCTTTTACTAATTTTTAGAATTCCATTTCGCACTGGTGCTTTATTCCATTGTCTTAACAATTTCAATCCAATAAATACTAGCAGGACCCGTTAAAACAACACGGATTTGCTAATACTTTAATACTGCACTTTGTATTTTTCAACAAATGACCATTCCAAGAGTTAAGATTTTACTGCCTATATCTAATATGACCCTTTCTATCCTTCTTTGTTTCGCACTCTCCTCTCTCTCCCTCTCTCTCTCTGTTTTACTCTATTCTCCCCCTCTCTCTCCGTTTTACTCTGTTCTCCCCCCCTCTCTCTCCGTTTTACTCTGTTCTCCCCCCCTCTCTCTCCGTTTTACTCTGTTCTCCCCCTCTCTCTCCGTTTTACTCTGTTCTCCCCTCTCTCTCCGTTTTACTCTGTTCTCCCCCCTCTCTCTCCGTTTTACTCTGTTCTCCCCCCTCTCTCCATTTTACTGTTCTCCCCATCTCTCTGTTTTACTCTATTCTCCCCTCTCTCTCTCTCCCCCCCTCTCTGTTTTTCTCTGTTCTCCCCCCTCTCTCTCTCTCTCTTTTTCTCTGTTCTCCCCTCTCTCTCTCTCTCTCTGTTTTACTCTGTTCTCCCCCCCTCTCTCTCTGTTTTACTCTGTTCTCCCCCCTCTCTCTCTCTCTGTTTTACTCTGTTTCCCCCTCTCTCTCTCTCTCTCTCTCTATTCTCCTCCCCCCTCTCTCTCTCTCTCTCCTCCCCCCCCTCTCTCTGGGTTTTACTCTATTCTCCTCCCCCCTCTCTCTCTCTCTCTCTGGTTTTACTCTATTCTCCTCCCCCTCTCTCTCCCTTTCGTTTTTACTCTCGGTTTTACTCTATTCTTCCCTCACTCTTTCGGTCTTATTCGCTGTCCTTCTGTCTTTGTTCCCTTCTCGGACGCTCAATAGGGTCTGGGTTTAATAGGATTTTTGATTAGAACATAATCTATTTTCGTTATATTACCAAATGATTGTAATCATTAAAGATTTTAATTTCAAAAGGTCAGTTGCAGTTCAAAGGCGAATTTGTCTTCACATGATTCAATCCCTCATTACAAACAACTGCCTTTATCTAAAATGACCCCCCCACCTCAAACATCTCCTGTGTCGCTCTCTTTTTCACTCTGTACGCCCTTCTCTCGCTTTCTGTTTTACTCTTTCTGTCCCCATTTTCATTTGTTTCTCTCTCAGTATTTGTTATACCAAGCGTGACACACACCATACATAGATACAAGCGTACTAATATATAGATTACCAAAAAAGTCAACACGTTGGCGAATCAGCCATAGTGAGATTCAAACTCTGAACTCATAATCTGGAATCTAACTTTCCAACCATTTTCAGTATATTTTTAACCAAGCTGAATTTTCTTGAGGAATTTAGTTAAAAAAAAAAAAAAAAAGTTATCTTAATGATTCTGCTTTCTTTTGAAATTTCATTTACTTAATTCAACATTTATAAAACTTTCCCTGTTCTTTTTATTTTCAATGAAAAGTAATAAAAATCATTTTGCACACACTACATGACAACGTTATTAACGTTTAAGTTAAAAAAAAATATTGCTAAACCAAATTGAAATTCGGAATGTTTTTCTTTTTTATAGTTAGGTATTTGCTGTAAGATGCTAAAAATCATAAATCATTTTTTAAGCTTTTAGGTACATTTTCTTATGCAACATTCATTTTCTGTCAGTCAATTTAGACTATTTTTTCTTCTTTGTTTTTGTCTTCTAATCTGATTAATTCCTTTGCTCCAGCCTTGCATTTCTTTTAAAAGCCAGGCTTTTGAAAAGTCTGTTTCTTCCCGCCTGACTGCCATTTTGTAAAAAAAAAAAAAAAATTCTCTCCGAATTTATATTTTCTGAAAATGCTTAAGGAAAATTTTGAATTTTCCATTCTATTTTTTTCATTTTTTTTTTTTTTTTTTTTGTCTAAAGTATCACGTGAACACAATTCTTTGTTATAACTCAGAAGCATTTTAAACGTTTCGGTCTTTGTTAGGACAACCGAACTCCACTTTTGTGTAATTGGTGTTCAGCACAACTTTTCGGCTTGTTCATTATTTTTCTTTTTTCGGAAGAAAAATATTTAAAAAAAAAATTAAATAAGAAACAAGAAATTATTTTTTTTTATTTTATTTTATTTAGCTCCGAGTGATTAGAATGTTCTTTATGACCATGAAACTCTGTGTCGAATACCAATATTGGCAATTGTGGCGATCCCAGCAATCAGAAAGTACCCGAAACGGTGCCCCCACCCGTACCTTCGATATGCCTTATGAAATATAAAATTTTCCAAGCCTTCTTTCCTCATTTTAAGTGTGCTTTATTCATTCTGAGTTTACATCTTGCAACATGAGCATAATATTAATTCTTTTTCTTATTATAAATTTCGTTATAGACGACTGACAAGGTACTGCGATTAACCTTTTTATTTAATTTTTCTTGTGTACATACAAGCATTTTCTTTCCTGGACACAAAGTGCGTAAAAACTGTCCATACCTTCTGCATATCCGAGGGCTTTCGGCTATTCTTTTAGCTATTCTCAAGGACAATTTTTTTTTTTTTTTTTTTTTCAAACTGAATGCTTGAGTTTTTTATGTATGTGTCTGAAACTAGAGAAATGTTTTATTTTCCAAACACGGTCAGCACATTGTGGCCATGTTCATTGTTAATGTTATTGAGTGTTAGTTTTTCCTTTTTTTTTTTATTATTAGGGCTTCCATTTTGTATTTTCTGCTAGAATGTTGCGCATGGAGTTTAATGGGTTTCGGTGTATTTAAATGGGTCCTAATTAATCTATATCGGGTAGGCGTAACGTGAGTCACCAGACGACTTCTTTGTAACGTAGCAATATTGAACATGCAGATAAAAACAATATACATTAACATCTTCTATAAAAACCAAATACACATCAACTATAAGCAAGATGAATTTTCACTTAGATATATTAAGAAATACACAACCCCAGTCGACCTGAACAAGAATATTAAATTTTCTACTATAAAAGCTTTAAAACAGCTAACCCTATCATCAACAATAATAAACAATTAGCATCCAAAATCAAAATTACAGTGAACCAATGTTATCTCCGTATCGAAATCCCTCTTAAGAAACTGTTTTTCCGATCAAACCAACCTTATAAACAATTATATTGGTCATACTACGACATGCCTATCTAAACGACTAACGGCTTTTTTAAAGGTCATTTATTTTCATTCTTTTCTTTCATCTCGAGAAACGCCAGCTTAACGGGAAAAAAATGTACTAATTATTTATTATTTAAGCGTACACACAAATACGCATGCACACATTTCTTTCTTTCGTTTTTGGATCTGATGAATCCTAGAAAGGCGAAACGCGCAATCATATCTAATTTCAATGAAATTAGTCATATTTCTTCAAAACTTTGTCGGGATTTTATATACTATTTTACAAACACGTATATATGGCTTGTCCCTTCATAACGTTGGTGATCATGGATATCACGTTGAATCACCGAAGTTAAGCAATGTCGAGCCTGGTCAGTACCAACATGGTTTGACGCTTGGGAATAACAGATGCTGTAAGCTTATATGCGATAATGGTGTAATGGGTAAACGACTAGGAATGAGAAATCTGAGAGTTGTGTTCGAATTCCAATCGAGTTCGTTACATTAACTTACGTGAAAATAGCTTGGGCGTTCACGAATCGAAGAGAGATCACCCAAGCGTGTCACATCCGCCCCCTACCAACACGCATTGAACCAACGCGATACAGTAATGGCCCATTCATCCTCATGAATACGGGGACATAGTCTACGTTCAACAACGGCCCTTTATAGGCTGAGAAAAATGGGTTAACTGCGTGTGAGTGAAACCGCGGATAACAGGTATTATTGCATATTTTGATAAAGATGAACAAGGCTGGTTTAAATGCCACTGTCATGGTAAAAAAATGTGATAATGGGATGTCCCCGTTTGACCGTGTGCACCTGGGATATCTCGAATAATTAGTCTTTGTTGAATGGACGTTAATAGTTTTTTTTTTCTTTCTTTCTTTTTAACAAATAGAGGCGGGAACAAATCGGATCATTTTTATTATTTGTTCATGTTTGAAAGGCTTGTATTTACAAGATGGGAGGGTGTAGCGTTATACATTTACACAGGAAAATGTTCTGCTGTTTTACAGTAATTTACTCACCCTCTGCAATTTCTTCATGAAGACGAGCGTTATCGCTATAGAATAAAGGTTAACAAAGCAGGTCTCACACGACCATTAATATGTCATTTAATTCAATCGCTCTTGGCGTCCTGGACAAGACGATAAACTACATCCACCAGCAAAGCCTCTGATCAGGAGGATTTGAGGAGCGTGGAACCACCACTTAATTTCTGGTGTTCCCAGGTCCACCTTGAACTGGGGTGGTAGCACCTGTTAGGGTCCCAGCTATGGGCAAATAGTTAACCCCCAAACTTGGTCAAAACACTATGAAAAGAGGTTTTATTACCAGCAATACGTTTTTGAACAAGAATATTACCAGTAATAATAATCTTGTCGGCATTAAATAACCCATTGAAGTTGAGTTGCCGAAAAGCAAAACAATCGCTCATGTTTGTACCAGATTAAACTTATTATTGATAAAAATTATTGACATACAATTGGTGGATGACTTTCAGTTGGAGAGAGTAATTGTTTGCAAAAAAGCAAGGGTTATTGTAAAACAAAAAAATTCTTTTAATGACTAATTGCCACGTTAGGCTTCTGTGTGTCTTCTTATTTCAAGATGTGGATGGTCATGGCTCTCCACAACATCTTATACTTCTAGATAAATTTTGTCCCCTTAATCTCCGTTCCAGTCACTTTTCTGCTATTCATTTCCACAAGCTATATGTATGCTATTCGATGTCCCTCTTACGTTCACTGTGTCTTGTGAGTGTCAAATTTTCTGAGCCTGCTTTCCTCATTATTTGTCCCAGAAATTTCAACTGTCGCTTTGTGAGTAATTTATAGGTTAAAAGGATAGTCGTAGAAATTAGTGTGTGTCTTACTAAAGTAGGCTATGTAATCATGTGGTGACTTACTCGTACGGCCTGTTGCAAGAACATTTTTCTATACTAAAATTCACTCAATATAAGGCTCGAGAGCTACTCAGGGTAGTGGATTGTTAATATAGTAATGCTGAATGAGATATACTACAGTTTAAAAGTTTGAAGCCACCAATAAAATTAGCACAGGATGAAAATGACAGAAGAGTGAAACCTTTCCGTCTCAAAAATGAAAAATAGCTCTTAGTCATTGAAAAAAAGAATGGAATCGATTATCAAACTTATACTTTGAGAAACTTTTGCAACTAATACCAACAGTTTGTGCTGTAGTAATCAAAGCTAAAGGGGCATATTTTGACGAGAGCTAAATTTAATCATAAAATACATTTCCCTTTTTGCCATAAAATTTCTAATAAAAAAATCATGTCTGACTTTTTTAACATTTATAATAATTTTCTCGTATTTAAAGTACTTTTAGGGCCAATTTATAAAAAAAAAATACCTCAAACTTTTGAACTGTGATATGAAAGTCTTAATGAAAAGTGAAGATAAAAAGAAAGAATAGTGATTGATCTTTGACTTGGGGGGGGGGGAAAAAAAAGATTGTAGTGTTCCGGTAAGCACCCACGCGTGAGTCAATTCCATAAAATGGCAATTCTTGTAATTCCTACGATTATGATTATAACCAGAAATTCCTTGCAGTTACTAGACAGCAGTATTCAGAAAGCTACTAGACTAATCATGAAAATTTGACTTGCCACTGGCTAAATATTAGGGAAAAAGCTTTTTGTGGAGTGTTCAAACACACCACGATACTAATGGAGCGCTAATGTACATTAAATAAAAACCACGTATAACTTCTTATAGAAACTCTTCTCCCACTTTAGATTCATATGTTTAAAAAGTATAAGTTCCTTTTTCCTAGCGCTGAATTGGAAATAGTTTGTTCGGAGGTGAAATTGGAATGGAATCACTGAATCCGTTTTATCATTACATACTGACAGTGGGGGAGGACAGAATGATTTAATGAAATAAATGACAGGGTCCTTTTTATGAATAGTAATTCGATATTTCCGACTGAAGATGGAAAGTGTTCAAATCTCCCTCCCCCACAAAAAAAAAATATTTTTGTTTTTATTCCTTTTTTTTTTGTTGTCTTTGTCTTTTTTGTTTTTTTTTCCCTCCCCAGCTATTTTCTTGCCCATCGTGTTTTTTTTTTTTTTTCGCATCCCCCTGTATTTTTTCTCTCTCTTTTTATCTTCCTTCACCTTTTCCCCACTGTCTTTTTTTTATCTTCCTTCACCTTTTCCCTTTCTGCCTTTTTTTATTTTCCTTCACCTTTTCCCTTTGTGGCTTTTTTTATCTTCTTTCATCTTTTTCCCTTTGTGCCTTTTTTTATATCTTCCTTCACCTTTTTCCTCTGTGTCTTTGTTTTTATCTTCCTTCACCTTTTCTCTCTGTGTCTTTTTTATCTGCCTTCACCTTTTCCTTCTATGACACAAAAGGAAAAAGGTGAAGGGAGATAAAAAAAAGACACAGAGGAAAAATGTGAAGGAAGATAAAAAAAAAAAGACACAGAGGAAAAATGTGAAGGAAGATAAAAAAAAAAGACACAGGAAAAATGTGAAGGAAGATAAAAAAAAAAAAAAAGACACAGAGGAAAAAGGTGAAGGAAGATAAAAAAATCTTCCTTCACCTTTTTCACTTTGTGCCTTTTTTTATCTTCCTTCATTTTTTTCCTCTCTGTCTTTTTTTATCTTCCTTCACCTTTTCCCTTTGTGTCTTTTTTTATCTTCCTTCACCTTTTTCCTTTTGTGTCATAGAAGGAAAAGGTGAAGGCAGATAAAAAAGACACAGAGAGAAAAGGTGAAGGAATATAAAATATATTCCTTCACCTTTTCCCTCTGTGACTTTTTATCAAACTTCACATTCACCTTGGAAGATTGCCACAATACATTCCTCTCTTGGCTATATGCCCGATTAAAACAAACCGTATATTCTGTACGGCCTATATTTCCAGTAAGCTCTTTTTCTTTAAGGCTTCGTTCGTTGGCAGTATTTTTTTAAATAATATATTTCCAATTTTGTATTTATTGTTTCATATCTTTAACATTTCCTCGTGCTATAATGAAGTTAGAGGGTTTTTTTTTTTCTTGACCCTAATCAACAAAAGTATCTGTTTATTGGCAAATAACATTGTATACGATGGCATAAAATGCAGTAGGAATGGTGCGGGGAAATAAAGGAATCCGGTGGTGCTGTTTTTTTTTTTTTTTAATTCACTTTTTTTTGTTGTTTTGTTTCGGAAATAGTAGTTGGAGAAAAATGGCCGGGTCTACTTTCACTTTCAGTTTCGAAGAACACTTCACGCTCGCACTCAGCAATATAATACAATGAACCTTTGTGAATGATGAACAGGAATCTCTGCGCATTCCTTTGAAGGTGGGTAAGAAAAGTACAGGGGTCAGTGGGTGGAGGGGATAAATGCATGAAAGATGATCGTGCGTTCCTATTAAGCTACTGCTACTATTTTTTAATATATATATTTTTTTTTTAATATTTTTAGGTTGGGAGAGATAAGAAAGATGGAGATGAGAATTCAGCCTCATTCCTTTCTCTCCTCCATTCCATTGATCTCATTTTCCACCAGAATGATAATGTAATTTTTAAGCATTTTTTAATCATCTCTTTGATATTTGGTCTTTTGTTTTCCTTTATTTTTTTAATCAGTTACATTTTCATTTTATTTTATCATTTTTTTTATGTGTGGTGGGGTTGGTAATGAAATTTCTCCTTGTGATTGGGGCAATTCAGTTATATTACTAAATATAGCTCCTACCTTGCAAGGATGGAAAAAGAAAAACGCTTCTCGAGCGCATTTGATTGCTTCAAAACTACCCATCATTTTTCTGCCAAAAAATGCTTTCTGTCCGCCCTCATGCACAAGAAAAGAGACAAGGCTCTTATTGAATCAAGTTAAATTTTCCCCACCCTCTACTCAAAATCTTAAAGAGAAACTGCACTTTTACGAATCATTCTACGATAAAAATCGAAACGAGAAAGCAAAATAGAAGATACTCTCCTCAAAATTTTAAAAAATGTAACCCTTCTATACACGAGACCATTGGATTTTTTTGGTTTTTTAAACATTCAAACCCCGATGACATCAGGATGGATGAAACAGCCGTTTGCTTTTAGCTGGAATCTAACTTGGATAAAGTTGGGGTCTCTTTCAACAAACTTTCAGGGGAACAGAAAAATACAACGTGCCTCAAATAATGTATATCATTTTTTTTTTAAAGTTAGATTGTAGAAATCTGTTGTATCGAGTCCTAAATTAATTCTGCTTTAGTTTATCAACTTTATTCTTCAATTAAATTATATATTCACCATTATTTGTAAAGACATTCTGCAACTATTCAGGCAGCTCCTTGATAACGTCTGTGTAATAAAAATAAAAATGAAGGTTTTGATGTGAGAATTTTGACGAACTCTTGAATCTGGCATTCACTGGAGATTCCCACCATCGCGCCATCAATGTGTTTTACCGCCCATTATGACACCTACTTGAACTGTAAATAAGTTTTTCTTAGTATAGTTGCAGAATAAATCACAGGTTGGTTCTTTGTGTGATGATGAGACATAAATAAGCCTGAGCAGAAAGGTATGTTTGGAAGTTGGAACTCCTGTTGAAGGTGAGAAATGACACTGATTCAAAATAGACCTGATGATGATAAATAGTAAAATTGAAACCTACCAGCCTTGGTAATAGAAAGTCTTAAAAAAGAAAATGACGCTCTTTCTATCCTGTGAAAACCGCCTTAAAACTATATTTGCTTTAATCGGTCAGCCACGAGTGGCCTCCCAGCATTCGAGGAGCACTAAAGTGTTCTCGACATGATAGATTTCCTAGAAACAGGGTTTCGGTGAACAAACAACGAAACGTTAATTATTAGAAAATGTCAGTCCTGCTGAAAACTTTTCAGTACCCACTAGTCCTGGGCTAATTGCGATACAAGACTTTAGCTGGTAGAGTAATAATTATTCTGACGCACGCAAGCTTGCTCACTCGTTTTTCTTACGGAGTCTCACAAATTTGTCTATTCGCTAGTTTTGGTTTGAAAATGACAGTATCGGTAGTACCTTATGTGGATTTAACTCGCAACTCAACTGAATAGGGCTACGGCCATATGCAGTCAGAGCACCGGTTCTCGTATGATCACTGAAGTTAAGCAATGTCGAGCCTGACCATTACCTAGATGAGTGACCGCTTAGGAATACTATGTGCTGTAAGCTTGGGTGCGCGTGTAGTGTTATGGAAAACCTCGGAATAGGAAAATGGAGAGCCGAGTTCCATTTCCAGTTTGGTTCGTTAAATTCACTAACGTGCAGCCTTGGAAAAGGTATAAATCCACCTTTTTTCCTCCAGCTATGGGTTAATTAGTATGACTTGTTTCACTAAATCATTATTATCTCCAAAAGGTTTTTTTATCTAAAAGTATTTTCTGGCTTTAAATTACCTGCAAAAGGTTGATAATCCTTACAAAAAAAAAAAAATGATCAGTCAAAAAACAATGAATAAAACTGTCTCGCTAACTAAATACCCAATTGAGGCGTACTGACGCACCTAAAGGAAAGACAATCTTAAGAGTTAGGGGTTGGCAGCCTTTTGGAGATAGCGGGACAGAAAGCTATGCATTGTCTTGGAAGTAGGCCATGATATCAAATGTATTAAAACAAATTGTCTAGACCACAGACTGCTCTGTCTAGAAAATCATCTGAGTCTGAGGTCTTAACGAAAGAAACCACGAAATTAATGTTATATTACTTAAACAAGTTTCCTTATTTTGCTGTAGAAATAACAGGATATAAACTAACACGCATACACACACACAAAAAAAAAACAATGCAAATTTGTTATTACAAACGAAATACATTAAGAACTGGCCAATTATTTAATGAGACACTCGTTTCTGCTTAGTGTTCGGTAAATTCTCAACATCAGATGTAATATTTGTCGATGACAGAAGCAAAGAATCATCCAAGTGGTTATCACTCAACTATTTTTCTTAAGCGACTTTTAGTATATTTCATTTTTGAAAAAAGTTATTTCCAAGCATATGTACTTCCAAATGATGATACCATTATTTTAATAGGCTTTTCTATTTTTCACTTGGCAAAACACATTTCTTGCAGAAGTCTGTAGTGGATTCGGAATGGAATTTTGATTTAAATCGCATTGTAAGTCAATTAACTCCAACTGATACTTTTTTTTCTGTCACTTGCTACATGAATTAATTAGGTAATTATTGTCCAGGTATTAAGCACGGTGGAATTATGGGTAACGGCTCTGATTGCGAAATCAGACTTCGAATTCCAGTCGGATCCATTACATTCACTTACGTACTAATACCTTTGGGAAAGGGATGAATCATCTTCTTCTCTCCCCAATTGTTAAATAGCAGGAGAGGCTGGGTTCTTTTAACCTTGGATAGCAATCGGTCTGGGAGAAAATAAGTCTGAATTCAAAACTGTATGTATCCCTAAAGGATCGTCCGAATGATGATAATGATTAATGCGGGCCGGACAAAAATCAATCGCGGACCGGGGGTTGCCGATTCCTCTTCTAGACGGTCAGCATATTTTTGAAGACATTTATACATTCTTCAGTTGCTTCAGGAATGTATATTCAATCAGAATTGTTGCATCTAAGCACTTCAGGAATTTTTTCATCTTTTAGAAACAGTTCACAGGAATGTATACAAACAGATTTCTGACCTCGAATACCTGGGGGTCAAAAAGAGATCGATAAACGCCGGAAGAGGGTCGACTTGTGTTTTTTGGGTGCGAAAAACTGATAATAATAATAATAATAATAATAATACATATAATCAAACACAATTTGCTGATACGCATTTTTCATCTACCTAACCATCACCACCCCAAAAAACTTAAAAAAAAAATAATTTTTCCTTCCATTCTCTGATTCTTTTCCTTTCTTTTTTTTCCCGCCACTAATAAGTAACTTTTTCCCATGTTTATTTCATTGCCCGTGGATATGCAATTTCTGTCAGAAACTAAAAATAATAATTTTTTTTAATTTTTTTTTTTTTTTTTTTTTTTTCAGACTCTTGTAAAAAGAAACATAAAAATATGGAGAATAATCTTAGTGCAGTTAAAACCTAATCTGTAGTCCAGAGTTATCGTTCTTTGTAAAATATTTTTTTTTTCAATTGGTAAAAAAATTAAAAAAAAAAAACGATACGTTCACAAACAATAAGAAAATGTCAATTGATGGATTTAATCTTCTTCAGAAGTTATTACCTTTGGCCACGTTTCCTCTTTCTAACTAAAAATAAATAACTGCAAATTAAAACTATAGTATATGACTTGGAATATACATTTACTTATAGATAGACGGACATTAGAATCAACACTGCATAGTGGCTGTCGGTTTCATGCTTCACGTAAGATCAATGAAGCGTGCACCTGGCAGAAATGCATAGTGACGATTTACACACTTTCTTTTTCTCTCTGTCCTCTACTATCACTTTCTCTCTCTCTCTCTCTCTGTGCTTTACTATCGCTTTCTCGCTCTCTCTCTCTCTCTCTCTCTGTCCTTTACCATCTCTAGTATCCAATATATAAGCCATCCGTATTCGATCTGTGTGTGTCAGTCCTGAAGTTTACGGCTTATTGAGTCATTAAAAAACTAAAACTAAGTTGTTGTCCCGGTCTAAGGTTTCAAAATTATGCTAATATTATATCTATGCCTGAAGATCACCCTGAAGCTGAAACTGGGAGTCATCAGGCAGTGTTGATTCCTATGGACACCATATTTATAAACAGTCTCACTCTCTCTCTGATGCTGAAGACTCTCACCCTATAAATATAGCAAATATTTAAAATAGTAGTATATTTGTGTGACGTTAAATATCAATTTGTGACCAGATGCGATCATTTTTCTACATCAATGGAGATTCCATCAACCATTCCTTGATTATGCGTTCTTGGCGGGTAGGTTCAACATCTACTAGCATGATATCAATATTTGCCAACAGAATTCATTACTTTGAGTTAGCTTCGTTGTCTAAATTTGTAATTTCTGTTAATTTCGCATGTTTTCTAACAAATATTTTGATTGACATTTCCAGATGCTACATATATTTACCGATGTTTTTCTCGCCCTATTTTAGCGTGAGCGAAAACTTACTCTCCGGAGATGGTAAAAATGGCTGAAAGTACTTGCAGAGAAACAATGAAATATAAAAATAGGAAATATAATTTTAATCTCGAACCACCTATCAAAATGTCTGTAAGAAAATTCTATTTAAAAAAAAAAAAACGTATCAAAATAGAATATTTACGTTGTCGTTATAGAAACAGAGAAAAGCTGAATTGTTGTTAAAGAACGCGCATGCGCATGCACAGCAGTTGTCTCAACTTGAAAAATATGCTGGTGTAAGCAAATAACACTATGAACTTGTACGAAAATGAATAATGCTTAACATGTAAATATGTAGTAACATAAACTTATCTTATTTTAAACATAGTTCAATCGAATTCTTAGCTGACAGCCGAATTTCTGGCTTTCACCAAATAACAGTAACTGAAGGATGTTCATAATATCTGAATTTAGTCTGGAAGTTTAATATAATTTTTTGGAAAGAGATTATGGTAAATTGAATCTTGTGTATCAGAGGTACACATTTTTGTTTTTTAATCGAATTTAGTCCAAGCAAGGTAGTAAATCTACTAAGAGACAAGAGGTTACTGGATGTAGAGGAATTAGAAAACAGAAACGAGAACAATTGAAGAACAATCCAGAAGACAAGAGATAACGATTGGCATTGCATTTAAATTTTTGAAGAGCTTGTTAGCATAGAACTTACTATTGCATCTAGACAACTCAACTGTAAATTAATGAAACCTCATTGCCAATCTAGTACTGCGCTTAAGTTCATAAAGTCTAGGTACCATACCGAAGAGTGGTATTTATTCGTATGATATTACAAAATGTGGCACAAGGCCAAAATGAATAAGTGGGGAGTGGGACGGTCTTCTTCTGTCTTAAGTTTAAACTTAGCTACACGCAACCATTGGGCCAAACATAACACAATATTTCTTACACGAAGACGTCTCATTCTTACTACATCAACCACAATACGTCAGTCTCTCAATAAAAATGCAAACTAGTCCCCTATATGTACAATTTCCTGTCTGTGGAGGGGTGGGGAAATAAAACGATATAGCGAAGAGCTCCTCCGAGCAATCACTATGCAAATATTTATCGAAAAGGCAAAAGGGAGCACCTTTATGGCGGTGGGAAACTGACTGAAACCTTGACGTCTGACCGGTAATATTGTTGATTGTTCTTTGGATTTTATAAAATCTCCAAAGCAGGAGCAACAAATCACGTGGCAGCAATATTCTTAGCATTAAAGAATAGTAGACAGACAACTTTGTGCAAATAAATTGAAACAAGACTTATAATTCCGTTATTATTTACTTTTTTTTCATGTTTTCCAATGAAACCTGACCATATGCACTTATTAGTACTTCGTATGTCCATTCCACGAAGTCATTTCTTACAGATTGGCCACAAATTCTCGATTGGATTTAAATCAGGAGAGTTTCCGAGCCAATCTATAGTACTTTGATTTGCCCACTGGTAAGCTTGCCAGTGTGTTTCTGTAGCGTTACAATTTTCGTACGCTTCCTTGGAGTAATATCCATCGTAGACAATGGCCGTAGGACAACTAATTGGCAGTAGAGACAATAGTGTCTGGGCGTGATAAAAATTTGATGCAATCACGTATGGAGCGATATTTTTCAAGGCCAAACAAATTTGATCATACACTCCGAAAATGGATTCATATTTCTGCATACCACTGTAAATGACCTAATCCGAGGAAAAAATAGAAATCGATTATGCCCTGTCACTCCAGTGGGTCTAAAACTGACCGTATGGTGAAAGATAGGAAACTAAAGTGGTTGTTTCAATTAATTCGCACAAGGGTGTAGATGTGCAAGATAGATTGTAGAGAGAAAAATTGGCTTGCACGATTATGAACCAACTTTCTTAGTGGCAATGGATTCAAAATAGTCTTTTCACTTCATGTCAGCCGAGAATGTTAGCTTTAGAAGGCGTAACGAGTCACTCTCCTGGAGGTTAATAAAGAGCAATTTTGTTTTGATTCACGAGTTCATTTTCATTCATATATATATATATATATATATATATATATATATATATATATATATATATATATATATATATATATATATGTTCCTTCAGTTCCACAATTTCCGGTTCTTTCGAGCTAGCACTTAAAAACTGGATTTTTGTTATTTCTTCTAAACCATGTTCCCCTGTCGATTTACTTAAGCTCAGTAAGAAGTTATGCATTGTTTTCCTCTTTTTCTCCTACCTTCAGTCTGTCATGGGAGTATTACATTTTCCAAGCCGTCTTTCCTCATTGGACACCTTAGAAATTTCAACTGTCTCTTCTACCTAGCGAGCTTGAGTAAATGGATAGCGGGGCAAGATTTAGGAAAGATAACAAAACGACCAAATTTATTAAAAGCTACAAGGGACAGGAAATTGTGGAGAGCCATGATCGCCAACGACACATAAAAGAGGATAAGGTATCAAAACGTAAACACGTGAAATAATGTCTCTTGCCTGAACTTTGCTCCATTTATCAGTAAGTTTCATATAGCAGCCGACAGCCTGCACACATATCGGAAAAGAATGACTTAATTTCAGCTCCGTCATTCGGGCTTATATTTTTACTTTTTTGTCATCTGGGAAACATTTTAATTTCACTGCAAAAATAAGTCAATTAGAAAGGCTATACTTTCAAGGACGATTTTTATTTTTAATTGAATGTGTGTTTTTTTATGTATGTGCCTAAAGTTATTGGAATGTTTTATTTTCCAAACATGGTCAGAACGTTGTGGCCGTCTTCATAGTTAATGTTATTGAGTGTTAGCTTTCCCTTTTTTATTATTAGGGCTTCTATTTTCTACTAGAATGTTGCGGATGGAGTTTGATAGATTTCTGTGTGTTTAAATGAGTTCTAATTGAGCTGTATCGGGTAGACGTAATGTGAGTCACCAGATTAGACTAATTCTAAAGTAACTAATACCAATATTGAACATATAGATAAAAGCAATAAGATTAACATCTTCTATAAAAGCCAATTATTAGTGCTTCTACTATTTTTAATCTTTTCTTTTTTTTTTACATTTAGATGAGTGTTGTTATACGGTTATTTTCTACTTCCCAGCAGACGTTATCTTTCGCTAAACTTTCAATAATCATCATGGTTGTATTTTTATTATGGCAGTAATAACATTTAGGATAGCATAATAATCATTTCATTAAAAATTCATTATCATTTTGGTGTTAAATTATAACACAATTTAGGATTACATACAGCCTTTTATTTTTCAATTAAAATCCTTTTACGGTAGTTGCATTTAAAACTTTTAGGATATTCTAAGTGCGTAGAAAGACAAAAATATAGAATGAATATTAAAGAAATTTCGCAAATCGGGGATTTGCCGAGAATAAAGAAAGAAGAGAAGTTAGAAATGTTGAACTTCTCCTGCTAGTACTTCATAAATAATAAAATAATCCGTTCTAAGTGCGTAGAAAGACAAAAATATAGAATGAATTTATTTTCCATCAAGTTACCAATATTAATAAAAACAACCCTATCGTACATTATCAGCGGTATTTGGTGATTGCCGATGAAGTATAAGTAAATGGTCATTAGTACACCAGGCTGTTTGTAACTGTTTAGATATGGGAAAAGGGGACAAAGAATCGGTATTCGCAAGAGATCAGGTGATGAAACGTAAAAGAAAACAATGGTTTCCCTTTTAGGCGACGTGCGTAGAAAAAAACATGGTATAGAATCGGTTTTATTACTTTTTATTTTGAATTTCTAAAGATAGAGTAAGTAACATTTCCAATAACATCATCTTTATATAATCAATAAGCAGCCGTCTTATACTACAGGTAAAGGATAAATTAATGAAAATTTGCTATATATTTTTATCTCGCTTTATCTAAAGGTCGCCCTATATACGGAAGTGTGTGTGTGTGTGTGTATAATATATATCGTAAAAATATAGACTAATTGAAATGAACCATGCAATCTTCAACGCTATTTGCTATAAAACACAAAGTCGTTTAACAACGTCTCTCTCGATGAAGCCTCGGTCGTTAATCGATTCTTGTAGATCAGAAAGATTTAGGTCAGAACAAGCCAGGTATTTTTGCATTTTTATAGGCTTTGTTTCATTTTGTATAATTGTAATATGCCTCTTTTGTCAGTAGCAATTACATTAATAATTCCTGACAATCCCTTTTCTTCAACGATACGTTTATATTCTGTAGTTTTGCTTGTATTGATTATTCGCTATTGATATTTTTTATCAATTGACCACAAGAAAGGCGATAATGCCACTAAAATGCGCGGGTCTACTGGGAGTGGAAGAAAGGAAAAGACTTGAGAAGGACCCGGAAACCCAATCCTAAAAGGGAACGAGGAATAAGCAATCTACTCTTGGAAGGGCGTGAACCGGACAATAGGTGGGCCTGTTTACGCTTATCTCTGTCCAATTTTCAATGTATTTCTTCAGTAAAATGATTAGCAATATATTTATATTGTATGTAATAGCTCACTTCAGTAACGTTTGCTTGTAATCCTGACGCAAAACAATCTGTTTTTTCCCTTGAGTTTTTTAATGCACAAATGTGTCGTTAAAAATTTAAGGAGTGTAGTCGAAAAGCATTTCCTATTCATGAATTTACATATAACCCTTGACTGTAAATAACTGTACCATGTCAATGAAAAATATTTAGAAAGAACAAAATAGAATTTCATGAAAGACCGCAGCTTCCCAGTCCTCAGTGTCCAACCTTGACAGTCTTCAACCTTGACAGTCTTCAAATTCTCCTGGGTAGGTCTCTGGGTGACGAATTATTTTCTACCCCTATCTCACAGAGGAAACGTGGCTAATCTCTCGTTATTCCATGGCAAGTGTTCAAACAATGTCTGTTCCTTAGCCTCTCTCTCTCGGTTCGGGCTTCAGAATACGCCGACTATGTCCAACAGCAAGGCCTCAGATTGATTTCTAAAACTAAGTCGCCCTGTCAGCTGGGGCTTCAGAATACGCCGACTGCACCTCTGCAGAGAGGTAAGACCTCCCACCCCAATGAGGCGTCCTGGGTATGACGATAAACTACATCTGGCAGCAAAGACTCTGATCAGGTTTTGAGGAGCGGGGAACCACCTCTTAATTGCTGTTGTTCCCAGATCCATTCTGAACAGCGGTGGTAGCACCTGTTAGGATCCCAGCTATGGGCAAATATTTAACACCCAAACTGGGGTCAAAATACGATGAAAGTGTAAAAATAGGTTTTAATACCATAAATATTTTGTAAAGAAAAAAAATCTTACCAGCAATACATTTTTGAAACAAAAATCTTACCAGCAATACATTTTTGAAACAAAAATATTACCAGCAATTCATTTTTGAAACAAAAATATTACCAGAAATAAATTTTTGGCAAAACAAGATATTACCAGCAAAAAATATTTGTCGGCATTAAATAACCCATTGAGGTTGATATGCCGTAAAAAAAACAAACCAAACCAAGCGCTCTTCAAAATGTCGCTCACCCTTTGCGGGCTCAATACATGGGATGTCTCAGGAAAGCTGAGGACGGAAAATCTGAGCCCTTCCCAGCTCTAAAAAACGCTTCCTCTTCTACTGAATGCACTTCCTCTAAAAATATCGCAAATCTTGAACATGTATGTAGAAGAGATAATATACAGCGTGGTCCGAAAGTCTTGTCACCATCTAAAAAAAAAAAAAAGGTAATAAAAACAATAGAACAAGAATTAATACAGTAACAGAAAGCAGATATACTGGATTTAGTGTATTCATTTTCATTGACTCTGTCACACAACGAGATGATCTGTATGAACGCAATCTTTTTTTTGTGGCACAGAAGGATGTGGCGACGTGTTCTATGTGACGTTATACGAAGTTACGCTTTGCTCATTGTTGCAAAGGCTCTCCGAACGGCGTCCTTCAACTGATGAGTATTCTGTTATCGTTCATGTAAAACTCTCTCCACAGAGCGCTGAAATTGAAAATTATATTATGTAAGGGTGACATGACATGACATGACATTCGGACCACCCTGTACTCTATATCAGACTAAGTGGGTAATCGAATGAGAAAATGAAAAGAATTCTCTTACAGTGATTTTCTAACCGTAGCTTAGATGTAACACAAGGACAAAAACAAACATTGAGGGGAGGGGGCTCCCAGTGAGGATCGAACTCGCTACCCAGTCGTAATTGTTTGAACGAGACAAGCTTACGATCTATTACAACACGTTGGGGTGCCGTTAAGGATTTTTCTAAACGCAGCCTAGATGTGGCACAAGGCTAATAGTGTGGGGCACTCAGTGAGAATGAATCTCACTATTTAGTCGTAACTGATCTAGCGAGACAAGCTTGCTAACCATTGTCCCACGTCGAAGTTCTCAAGAACTCTCTTGTGTAAAAAAAAAAAAAAAAAAAAATAATCCTACGTAATGTGTTTAGTCCTTTGCATTACATTTTGTCACTCGATTACACACACACACATATATATATATATATATATATATATATATATATATATATATATATATATATATACTATTTTAATGTGGGTTCGAAACACAAAAAAACAGTTAAATTTAGAGCTGTCTGCCGGAGAAACAGCAAGCAATTGTTTAAATTAAATAATACAGATTAGGAAAAAAAAATGTCTGTGACGCGATAATGTATTAAAGTGCCATACTCGCAAAATGACGGCCATTAACTATTCGTTCAGTTTTTTTTACCAATAATTTGTGAATGTTTCCGTCTCTTCCTTTTGATTAGGATTCATTAACTAACTAATCATTATTGTTGCTATTCGGTCAAAAATAAAGAACAGTTTTTGATAAAACACAGTAAACGAATGAGAATTTCCAGTGGGGGGGAAAAATCAAAAGCAAGCAAATTTGTTGTTGTGCTCAGTATTGATTACATGGAGGTTTTATTATAACGTCGAGACATTTCAGTGTTTTTTTGTTTTTTTTATTATTATTATTTTTAGAGAGAGAATTTGTTTAAGTAAAGACAACGAGTCTTTCTCTTTTGACTTTCGCGACGTTTCTTTTCGTTTCGTCTTTCTGTTACTTGTTTCTCGTTCCGTCTTGTCTCTACGTCTCTCGTTTCTTTTTCGTCTCTTGTTTCTTTTTCGTCTCTGCGTCTCTCGTTTCCTTTTCGTCTCTCGTTTCCTTTTCGTCTCTCGTTTCCTTTTCGTCTCTCGTTTCCTTTTCGTCTCTCGTTTCCTTTTCGTCTCCTTTTCGTCTCTCGTTTCCTTTTCGTCTCCTTTTCGTCTCGTTTCCTTTTCGTCTCTCGTTTCTTTTTCGTCTCTTTTCCGTCTCTCGTCTCTCGTTTCCTTTTCGTCTCTTTTTCGTCTCTTGTTTCTTTTTCGTCTCTTTTTCGTCTCTCGTTTCTTTTTCGTCTCTCGTTTCCTTTTCGTCTCTTTTTTGTCTCTCGTTTCTTTTTTGTCTCTTGTTTCTTTTTCGTCTCTGCGTCTCTCGTTTCTTTTTCGTCTCTCGTTTCCTTTTCGTCTCTTTTTCGTCTCTCGTTTCTTTTTTGTCTCTTGTTTCTTTTTTGTCTCTTGTTTCTTTTTCGTCTCTTGTTTCTTTTTCGTCTCTTGTTTCTTTTTCGTCTCTTGTTTCCTTTTCGTCTCTTTTTTGTCTCTTGTTTCTTTTTCGTCTCTGCGTCTCTCGTTTCTTTTTCGTCTCTGCGTCTTTCGTTTCATTTCTTCACTACGTCTCTCGTTTCGTCTCTGCATCTCTCTTTTCCTCTTGTCTGTTTTGTCTCTCTCCTTAAGTTGAACCAAACTCTCAAGGTGTTCTTCCTTTCCTCTACTTGATCCGTGTGGAACGTGAGTGAGCGCTTGTCTTTTTGTGCAACGTGACACCAAATCTTCCTCTCACCCTGAGACCATCCGGTTGGCTTTGACTCGCTTTCTAAAATCTGGATTCTCTTTTTCCCCTGCCAGTCGAGGATGAGGCAGTCGTGCGAAATTAGACACAAGGTTGTAATTTGTTAATGTTTTTGAACCATTAATCTTCGTGTTGATTAATGGTTTAGTTAATTGCTTTCTGACTGTGTTTTTTCTTCTTAGTTTTAATCTCACTGGCGATCAACTGTTGTTAATTGTCTCGCATTGTTAGAATCAATACAAAGTGACGCATTTGGTGGGGCAAATGAAGAAAATCCCGAGCAGTACAACACACATACACCCACATTAAATAAACAATTAAATAAAATTTCTGTTAAATCGAAAAAAAATTCTGTTTGAATTATTTAATTTTCAATAGTAGAAATGTGTCCGCTTTTCTACACAATGGATTGTGACATTTCTTAAATATTTTTTATTAAAAATAAATAGTAACAAATAATATCAATTTTTAAAAAACATATTTTGTTTTAGATTTTTATTTTAAGTTATTTTTTCATTTCAGTATTTTCTAGCGTTTTTGTCAGACATTTTATTTTTTTTTTCTGTTTTTTCTCCTTTTTTCTTTTTTTTCCTCCTTTTCCTCCCTCTTTTCCATCTTTCCCTCCTCTTTTCCTTTCTTTCCCTCTTTTTCCTCCCTCTTTCCCTCCCTCTTTTTCCTCCCTCTTTTTCCTCCCTCTTTCCCTCCCTCTTTTTCCTCCCTCTTTCCCTCCCTCTTTTTCCTTTCTTTTTCCTCTTTCTTTCCCTCTTTTTCCTCCTCTCACCCTTTTTTCTCAGTTTTCCTCCTCTTTTTTTATTTTGTTCCATTTGACTCTATTGAAATACAGATATCGACATATTTCCAAAATTTGATTTGCGCATTGTATGAGAATTTCAACAAAATTATTTCAAATAAAATCTTTTAAGAGTCACAGACAATTTCAGTTGCCAAACTTGTATCGTTGTCTTCAAAGTATCGCCATTGTTGCTTGTTTATGACCAACAAAAATGCCACAAAAAAGAAAAAAAAATTCTCTATGAATGTGAAATCAAAATCCAAACACTGAGCCTAAATTTGAAATAGTTTTTTTTTTTTTTTAATAACGTAACCGGAGTTCTTGAAAGAAAACACATTTACTGTTTGATTGTAATTCACGTTGATGAAAAGTGATTCATGGATCTTTTTGTATCTAATTTTGGGGCCTTGCTTGAATGTTTGACCATCCGACATGACTAATCGAAACGCTGATTATCAAAATTCTCAAGATTAAATACTTTTCAATTTTTTTTTAATTTTTTTTTTAAACATTTCAGCCGAAGCAAGGCAGGAATGCAACTAGCACGTAGGGGATTACGGACAGTGAAAGTGAGAGAAAAGAGTCGTTGTAGGGGATTGGGGAGAGAGAGAGAAAAAAAAAAAAAAAGATCATGGCAACAGAAAATGGCAATTGACTCTGCATTTAAATTTTTGAAGATTCTAGTTATCAGAAAAGCAAGTGAAAGGAAGGGGGCGTTCCAATGTCGGGAAGTACGGGATGGGGGAAGCATCCGTTGAAATAGAAGTGGCGGTTACGTTTAATTATTTCAACTGTAACTGGGTGGGATCTAGATGCCAATTTAGTAGCACGCTTAAATTCGTGTAGCCGGAACACCAGGGGGGTAAAAGCTGACCATGAAAATATTTGTAGGAAAGGCAGTCTATATCATGTCTGTAAGAAAGTCACTAAAGTCGAGAAGCAAATTCAGGACCGATTTCATTACAAATCCTTCTTAGGATTTTGTCTAGAACCTAGAGATGAACGGCAAGGGCACCAGACCAGATATGGCAACAGTATGGGACTCTGCTACGTATGTTTCCCGATTATGAAACCTGTCCATTTGAATTCAGGCGATGTTTATCCCATTAATCGATCGAATCATTTCTGTTAAGAGTTCGAGCTTTACTAGCCGTCTCGAGTTTGTGGCAAAAGATAGATAGAAAAGCTTAATACTTTATTAAATATTTATCAAAACTTCATTGATTAGATTTTAAAAAAAAAAATGTCGTTATTAGTATTTTTAGAATTATAAAGAAAAGAACGTATTTTTAAAGCAGGCTGACAAACCAGGTGTTAAAAATGGGGTGCGGGATAAATCAGGTGTTCAAATTAGGGGTGCGGCTAAATCCGATTTTAAGTTTTAAAGATTGATTTCTTTTTTAAATTTGATTTTCTCATAAAATGAAGTTTTTTTTTTTTGTGGCGGGGTCGATATATTATTCCACTGAAATAGCTTGTACTTATTTTTTGGAATGGGGTCTATAGATTTTTTTTCTGCATCGAAGGCTTAAATAACTTTAAAAGCTAATATTTCGGGAAAATGGTTTATTTAATGGGGATAATGTTTTTTTTTAAACAAATTGCAGTTCAATAACAGCTATAGATTGAGGCTAAAAAACTGATCTAGTCTATTTGTTTAATCATTAATTTCAACAAATGTGTCTTTACTTTCAATGACTTTTAAAAAGAATTTTTTTTCTTACTAGTGACAATGTATCGATAAAAAAATGATTGTTCATGCAGAAAATATAATCCATGCAATTGAAAAAATAATTTAATCTTTTAACGTAACATCGTTTAATACTAAACTAAAACAATTATAACAAATTGTCATAAAAAAAATGACTACGATTTATTGTTACCAAACTAAGCAGACGAATTTTTTCCTTATATGCGAGAACTTTTGCATCTAGCTTAAACTGCATCACTCTGTATGTAACTTCATTTGTTGTACAAAAACGTTTATCCAACCACAGGTAATTGTGATCCCTGAACAATAACGAGTTTGAATTTCATAGTTGTGTTGTCGTATCCTACTATGGCAACAGAAAACGACTTTGAATGGCATTAACAATAAGGATACTGCAACTGAGAGGCCGTGATTAATAATGCAAAAGTAATAAAGACTAAAATTTGCAACTGAGTTTTACTTGATATAGTCTAAAACAATTCGAAAACATTTTGTTTTTGTCTTTAATGAGTAATTTTTGTACAGTCGGATCGAATTGAATTAACATGAAAATTTTAAAAAATACATTTTTATTCTTACTGATTTGTGTGATTGACTTGATTTGTTAACTGTCTCATTGTAGAGGGTATATTTCTGTAGAAAACCAATACTTTGTCAATTTTCGAACATGTGACGGGTGTTGAAAAGAATATTTTCGAAGAATTCAAAAATTCCCGTTTATAACTAACATATCGAAAAAGAAAGGAAAAAGTAATTTTTCTGAAAAAAAAAAAATTAAATCCTCAAATTACATTTTCACACGCTTTGTCCAAAGTTTTTTTTTTTCTTCTCCAATTCATTTTTTATTAAAAACGAAAAAAAAAGACAAAAAAAAAATCGCCAATTTCACTGTTTCTGAATGGCTTCGCGTTTTTCTGCTGCAAATTCTTGAATCTAGATTAGTAAGCACCCGTTTACCTCTTGAGGTAATGGCAACTTTCTGTCTGGTCAAAATTCAGTTCCTTGGTAATGGAACTGGAGCGACCTCTCCAGTGCGCAGGCCCGGGAGATGGTATATGAAGGTGATGCGCTGCCTAGACTAATGCCCCACGACCACCACCGTACCAACAAGATCTACGGGAATACAGGGCATTACATTTGGGGACGGCTGCAGGAGTTACCGGAAAGTTGTCACTTAACAGTCAACCCGCCTTCGAGGTTTCACTCCTGTTTTTTTCTGTCTGGATTCACTTCCATAGACTTTTCCGTGTTTGGGTAGATATGAACGCAAGGCAGCGGGGATTTAAAATCGGTGTTTTCTGTCCTCTAGATGGACTGTCTTTCTGAGTTGTCGAGCTCTATCTGCCCGAGACAGCTGGTTATGAGGCGCCATTTTTCCGCCTTCGTCCATTCTCCGGCTTGGAGCTGGACTTAGTTGTCAGATGCTATTTGAGATGCATGCCACGGAAACATTTTATAGACAATAGGAGCTTGTTCCCACTAACACCCCCGGTTTGGAGAACCTTTTCAAAATATACAGTGTACGTATATAAACATTATGTACAAAAGCTGCATTATATAAGAGCAAATTTTGGCTGTAATTGCAACAAACATTTATCAAACATTGCTTGCATGACATGCGCATCTGAGAGTTGCGTAAGTCATAATCTCAGGCCTGATCAAACTGTAACTATTCTAATGTATATTATGAAAAGAGTGAGGAAACTAACATTAGTTAATTGAACAGATTTTATCAGCGTTTTTTAATCAAGCGTTGAGTATGGCTTTTCTAAATTCTCAAAACGCTTATCTGAGATTGAATATGAGAACGGGTTTAGTTCGAATAATTGAAAAATGTTTCGATGATTAAAATTTCTCTCATTACAAATCTAGATAATCATGAGAGTACTGTGATACGGTTCGGAGCTATAAGTTGCTGATCCTGTTTACAAAGCTATGTAAATTACCTTCATTTCCAGGTAATATTATGAGTATATATAAAATTTCGATGTAATCTCTTCCCTGGGAATAGTCGTGATGTCTCATAGCTTAAAAAAAATTGCCATCCATTAACTCCAAGAAAACAATTTAAGAATTTTATTTGGCATATCAGAATTTTTAGAATCGCGAGTCATTCGTCTTCAGACTCCTCTTAAGTAAAAATTAGGAATTGTCTTATTTCTGGGATTAACTGCAAGTAAAAGGGGAGATAACTGAGAGAATTAACATTTTTATTAGAGCAATATGTTACGAACCTTTCGCCTCGAAGCAGAGTTTTGGCTTGTACTTTCTTAGAATTTCTTGAATCTGGCTCTTTCTAAAATATTTTACTTTGACAATCAGCATATTTCCAATATATTCACGACACTCTATTAATATATCCTTGCAAAACCAATTTACCTGACTTTGTAGATAAACTAAACTAAGTCGAACATGCGATGGAATTCACTTATGAAACGGAAACAAACAATACTTTATCTTTCCTAGATATCATGCTACACTGAGTGGCAATAACCTAAAACGAAGTGTCCATCGCGAATCCACTAATAAAAATGATCTCATAAATTTCTGTTCTCGCCATAGCAACACAATAAAATCCGGAATAAGCATCGGATTCTACTTAAAAGCACTCAGAATTTGTAGCCTTCGATATTTGCATAAAGAGGAAAAAATATATTGAAAATGCTTTTAAGCTCTTCCAATACCCAAATTATTTTCTATTCAACGAGAAACAAAAAGCTCGTAAAATACTTATAGAGGAGTGGACCTTTCTGAGAAACCCGACGAATCAAAATATATTATTAGAGCAATATATATTTTTTTCTTTTGACTGTCTTCTTAAATAGTTTCCCCGCTTCCTTAATGCTTATTCCCTTCTCCACCACCTCTGCCAGTCGGGTATCTTAATGCGTATATATATATATATATATATATATATATATATATATATATATCGTTACACCTCATTACATCTGGCGAGAAGATAAAGTATGTTTGCTCGGTGGTTAACAAAGTATTTCTACTACGAAGGTTACTGCCATTTTTGACTGTAGTCAAAAATAAGAGAAAATATTAAAATATAAACCCTGTTAGAAGTTACGACTCTCCACGTTATATTTTTTCATTAATGTTAATTCTGTATTTTGTGCTTTTGAAATTGACGAGCAATTGGCCATGCTTAGATGTAAATGTCAGAACCACCCAACAAACAGAATTGAGAAAGTTTCCAATAAACAATAACAAGAAAAAGAAAATTAACCGGGCAAAAATTATATGCAAATCAATTGTAAATGTTTTCTATGTATCTTGTTAGTATTTATTTACCCAATCTAAGGAATGAATAAG